ACTTTCGATCCTCCGACTGTACGGTCGGCCTTGGAAAATGATTCAAAGATATGACCTCTGTGAATCGTCACGGCCAGCTTCAAAAAGTTCTAAAAAGTGCGCTGCTCTCAAAACTGCACATCGCCTCTATAAATGCGAGTGCCAATTTATGACCACCAGCGAAAAATGAGGTTGCTCATGACTGGAAATTGCAACTTTAATCCCGTATTCGTTCGTCGATTCATTCTTCCTACAGTTGTCTGTAGGAATTGGCCATTGAACCGGATCACTCCTGATCGTGACAAATTAGAAGAGGTTGATAACTTCTAACGCAACACCGGTTCATATCATTTTCTGCTGTACAACTGTCAGCCGCGATGGAAGCTCTGGCACCTGCTTGATCTTGCGATTGAGGAATATCCTCAACATGTGTCAGTCCACTTCAACTCTTTGAGTAACTTCGCCTAACCGAACCGAGGACATATTCTGTCTCCATTGGATCTTCGAGGTCAGAGAGAACTGATCGCAATGTTATGGGTTGACTCGGCTGATGAAGTTCACTTCGACTTTTCACTATTACCGGCAGAACTTTTTACCTCCTTGTCCGTTTCACTGTCTTGCGGCATGAATTTTCTAAATGAGTTACACCCTTATGTGAGTAGACATACAGAATGAATGCCATTTGCCATTAGAGATTGAAGAAATGAATGCGCAAGTTTGCACAATGCTAGTGACTACCATTGCCTAGATTTTAGGCATTGAAATAACGATGGCATGCTACTATTTCTTTCGTTTACTGATATTACATTAACTTTGTTCAGAGGTTCTGTTCGTCTAGTCTTCGTGTCGTCCTCCACAGTACAGATGGCAAAAGCGGTTGTTCGCAAGCTGCCAATTGTTTCATCAATGATTGAAGCAGAAGAAGCACTCGGTTATTCAGTCAGTGGCTTGTTTTCTTAATCTACCTGTCTCAAGGCTAAAGGAGGTCGGTCAATCCTTGATCAATACTTCCTCAGTAGCTGAGCACTTAGCTGGATGATTCATTACAGTCCTTCCTCAATTATTAGATACAGTGATATCACTTCGACTGAGATCCGACCCTTATTATGCCTTCTTGATCATCGGATACCCACTCTCCTTCACGTAAACGCTTGAAAGTTGAATTTTTAACTGTTGCCTCGCTCACCAGTCATTGTTAAGAAAGTATGCATACCCTCATCATTTTCTTTTGACCTCAACCTTCAGGAAGGATTGATTAGTCATGATGGAATAAGTCAAAATTTAGCTCCAATCCACCATATAATAAAAAAATATTTTATACGTTAACTTTTATGAGCATTTGCGTTTTCAATATTTTTCATATTTCAGTCACACTCCACGAAACATTACCTGAGTGGTATGAGCATCATTTCAGCTCGAACCCTCAGCCAAAGTTTGTGTAGCTGCTGTACTCTCTTGAAAATTATGACTGTTCGTAGTAGAGACGCTTTTTGCAGTTCGTCCACATTGATCGTTTCATTAATAGACTTTAGAACACGTCGGTGCCTGTCAGAGAGTGCGAAACTTCATCGCTATGACACCACAAATGCTGGCCTGTCCAAGTGACTTAGGGATCCACTTTTCGTTGACGGACTCTTTACAATACTGTGAAACCACTATAGAAATGACTTCTGTGTTTGTCTCCAAATTTTCTGTACATCCTCCACCTCACTTCTTGATACTTCAGTATCCCTTCACTCCCTTTAACAACAACGTTGCCGTCATCTTGACAGATTATGTCAATGAAATCA